GCAAAAATACACAGCGCTACACTTACCAGTACTATCCACCGTAGGCAGCATGAGCGCTCTACTTGTTGATCATGCAGGCATGCCGCAGCATGAGCCAAGACTTCTGGCCTACCGCTGCATCCACCGACAGCAGATCATGATCCGAGCATAGGCGTCGCAAATCTCCGCCTGGTCCAAGTTTTGCTTTAAAACACCACATTGCATCATCGACCACCCTCCAGGGCTCCCCACTGGGAGAGCAGAGCCAGGCTTCAAAGGATGTGCTTCCCACTTCCTTCTTGACTTGAAGGACTCCTGTTGCACCATGCAAGCAGCACGAAGTCCCAAGCGAGCATGCACAGTCAAGCCAGGTCAGGCCTGCTGTGCCACAACCAGTGCTATTGCACTGGCCAGACCCAGCTGCTGGGAGGCTTTGCAACTGCCAGGGTTTCAAACGCTGGTCTATGCTGTTCTACTGACGCTGCACTCTGCGATGCACAAGCCTGAGAACTGCTCCAGAGAAGAGGGCCCTGCAAGGCCCAGCTGCCAGCTGCTTTGAGCTCAATGCACCAAGTGCTGTCGCCAACAGCCACCTGCAACACTGCTGGCAGCAAGCCAGGATGTTCTTCAGCATTGTATCATCTTGCTGCAACCCGTCGCGCCAGCTCCACAGTCTGCGGCCCTTCAGGCCGCATGTGACCACCATGTCCGGCAGGGCGAAGAGGCAGCGCTGAACTCTCGCCCCACCAGTCTCTTACGTCCTCAGGGCGCATGATCTTACAGGGATCTGCTCTTGAAGGCTACTGCTTGAAACATACATACAGCATATCCTGCCTCTAGCGGCTCCACGTCTCTTTGAGATGGTAGTACCCACGCAATGGCAAAGGCTTGGCAAAGGTCTGCGGGAGACCAGCGTGCCTCCGCAAATCATCTAACTTAGCACAGAACACATTATCATAATCATCATAAGACCTCAAGACTGGAATGAGGTGTCAGATTTCAGACTGCACTGGGATACTGACTTCTGCGATGAAGCCAGGAACTTCTTCGAAGGCGGATTCCCGCCAGACCTTATGCAACTTTTCAGATTCAGATGAGCAGGCTGGAAGCTCCTGGAAAAAAAGCAGTGTTGCAACACAATTTCGCAAGCCCAGGCTTGAATTTCAAAAGACACGCTAACTTGCAGGATCCATTTGGTGGTTTCCAAAAAAATGAGGATCTCTTTCGGCAGTGCACATATTGAAAAGTATGGACTTTAGGGGGACCCCATCTTGGGAAACCCGTTACCCATGTGCAGGAGCAATATGAAATTCAGCAAGGCAGGTGGCATTTGGCGTTCCACGACTCGCCTGTCTCACTGAACACAGATTGGGGTCTATACTGGGTTCCGCTACTGTACCTTTGGAAACACACCTTTGAAGCCGAGTGGTCAGCCAGCAGATGGTGAAGTGTTTGACTTTGATAGATCTGATAGGTTACAAACAAAATCAGGAAGTCTTCTTGTTCAGTAAGGCCAAGATGGTAGTGTCCCTCAATAAGGGGATCCCAATAGAGACCCCAAAGTACTACAGTCCTTATTCTTGGGACCCCCAAAAAAGCACCCATAATTTCCGGAAACCAGAGTGAGTGGTCCGCTGGCTCCCCTGGAGGTTCTGCAGTCATTTATGACAGCAATTGGAACAGGAAATCACGTTTGAAGTGCTTCTGCAACATGAAGTAATACCAGTTCCCATATCATTTTCCATTTTTGTGTTTATTTGATTCTCCATTCTTGGGGTAATATCCCAATGATCCCGCTATACCCCTCTAAAGGGATCTAGGGTGTCCATTTCATTTCCATGTTCTTTTCCATCTGCCAAAGCCCTGGTCAAGGTACGCTCCATGCAAAAACTTTTCTACTATTCTGTGCGGTTTAGGGTTCAGGGTTTAGGGTTTGGGGTTCAGGGTTCAGGGTTTAGGGGGGTGCTGTTAAGGAACTTAAATCAGGGAACCCTAACCTAACCTTTACTAATATACCCATAATATGGTAAATTAATTGAGGTTCCTTAACAGGAACCGAGTATTGTCTGGCAAGCCGCAGTGACCTCTCCCTGCACGCCAAGGGTTGCCAGCAATGCTGGCCCTCGCCTGCGCAACTGGTGAAGATGAGATGTAAGCTAGGGTTTAGGGTAATAAGGCTGCTTTCGACAGTGGCTCATGTAGTGACTTCTGAGTCAAGGTCGAAAACCGGGGGCCCCTTTTTGGGCCATCATAAAGCGGATATCAAGGTGCTTTGGGATCTGCATTTGGCTTCCTAATTTCTGGAAACGCCCATATGAGCCATAGTTTGAACTCCTACTTCTCCCCTTAAGAACCCCTATAGTGCTCCCCTATATAAGCCCCTTTATTTAGACTATATAACCCCCTTTAAGGAGTTTAGACTGTATCTCATATGATTGGAAGCAAAAAGAGGCAAGGCCGACCTGACAGGCGCCCAGCTGGCAGCTTGGCACTGCCCTTGAAGCACCTGCTCCCAGGGATTATACCAAATCGTACTATAACTTAGAATTTATTCTAAAGCTTTAGGGCTTAGTACTATAACTTAAGTATCGTAGGGCTATATAGGGATTATACAAATCATATTGATTGTTGTAAGGATTGCACAAAATCCTATCAATTATAGGTATTATACAAATCATATGATAGGATATTATAGGGTTACATATGCTAATAGTCTTACCCCCAGGAAGGGAGAATCCACAACAGCTTTGCACCAGGAATCCTATCATAATATGAATCATGTGCCTATGAACGCGTAACTTAGGTGCGCATGTTATGTGTGCTGTTTGAAGGAACAGCGTCGTGCCGCCAGCGTGCCTCCCCGCAACAGCCCAGCAGCGTCTCTGGTACCACGCGACGACGGAAGGGCTTCACCTGTGCACAGATAAGTGGGGTCAGGCCACAGCAAGGTAAACACGAAAGACTAGGTGACTAAGTGAAGCATGAAGGATGCCTTGTGAGGTTGCTCGTCCGCCCACCAAGACCTAGCAGCCATGGAGCCCTACAAGATAGATCAAGATCTTGGCCTACGCACCTCACCAAGCCGGCACGATGGAGCGTGACCAGAAATCGCTCTGAGGGATCCTGGAAGCCATCAGAACTTAATCGGGCGTTTGAAGCATGGCCAGTGCCGGCGAGCAGCCAGCTGCAGCTGCCGCAGCTCGTCCACCTCGATGGTTTGTGCTGCCGTTGGTGTTGAGGCTGCTGAAAAATGTCCTTCTACTCGGCAGGGCCACACACCTCAAACTGCATTCTTCAAGCCAGGAGAACTCTCGACACTGCTGAGGACTCTCTAAGCCATAGGCACAGCTCTTGCCCAGCTAGAAGAAGATGTGCTCTTGCCCAGCAGAGGGCAGTCGCAGGATGACAGCCCAGCGTGTGGCTGCGGAAATGCTCCAGCCTAATGCGCTGAACCACCACGCACAACTCTTTAAATCTATAAGCAGGCCCAGTAGCCCTTCTGCGGCGATGAACACCTGCACTCGCGCAGTCGCCCCGCAGATGCCGAGCGTCGCAAGCACCGGGCTCGTGTTGTGCCAGGCCTCGAAAAACGTTCTGCTATGGCAAAGCCCTCAACGGCATCCTGGTCCAACTCTAGCACGACTCCTTGCCAAGGGACCAAAGCATCGCAGCGTTGCTCGAGCCGCTGAATGCGCTGCAGGGCCGCGTCGAAGAAGACAAGGAAGGCCGGATCGCCTCCTTCGAAATCTTGCACCCTCTACACTTCTACACTGCGAACTCACTGGCGGTACGACCCCTGCCTGTACCCACGGCAATCAGAGGCAGCTGTGAGTGCGCCGCACACACTGCACAACTGCCCGTCTGCCTGATGCAAATTGCCCAATTCAAGACACGTGCTGCTTGGGCGTAGATGTGTACAGCGTATGAGCTACAATGCATCACCCCTAGCAGGACTCTCATCTCAGTGCACCACCATTGTCTCATGAGGTGCTCCTGGGAACGCCGCAGCTTCCCGCGTAACCATTTGTTCTGCTGCTACACAAGTCGTTGGGAAACTGTTTACATCTCTTGCAGGCAGCAAACCACAAGCCTTGTGACTATCAGCATGCTTGCTGTGCCGTGCTTTGCTGCCACCAGGCTTGTCGATGGTCTAAGTCACTTCAGTAGCAATGCGTCTGTTCAGAGCATGCAGCCTCTAACTGCGCAACAATAATACCAAAATTCCGTTGACTGCAACTTGCGGAGTTCGAGGTTGAGCAGTTCAAGTTGCGCTAAGGTTTGAGCATCGACGTCTCCGGCCAAGGAAAAAAACTAGGCTCTTGGTCTTTGCTGCTGCACCAGTGCATGAAAGTTGGGATCCGTCGCCAGCAGGCATTGTCGCTAGATGGCATCGTGTTGCCAGGGCAGCACCACAACAGCTGGTACAGGTGTGCAAAACAAGCCTCTTTTTCATTGATCAGCGAGGTACTGCAAGCACTGAGCTGTGTCAAGAACTCGCTGCCTAGCAAAGCAACTAGAGCGAAGACGCGGAAGACAATAGAATTCCTGAGGCCATGTCCCTTTCCCTGCAACCATCGCTGGGTCGTACAATCGAAGTGATAGCCGCTGTCAATCGCACCTTATCCTTGCCAGCTGTAAGCTTTCCCTGCGCGTGTGAGGAATCATGCAGAATGCAAGGCCTCTATTTCTAAAGTCAGGACATCACACCCAAGCCCCCACAGTCAGGCGCGAATGGCACTACAAGCTTGCTGCTGGCAAGATGAGGCCTAGAAAGTGCTCGGGAGTAGAGGTCCTTCCTTCGGAAGACTTCTCGAACCCCGTCCTAGATAACAAGTCACTGGCAAACCAATCTGCCAGCTCTAAGTCTCTAAGTCAGCGCTAATGGAAAAGAAAGAGGTGTGTGCATGCTGCTAGCAGCTTGCAAGCCACCTCATCAACGAACGCGAAGGCAGACAGGGAGCCTCTTGAAAATTTGGAAACGGTCCATGCGCAACGCAGACTAAGCTGATTCCGGCGCTGGCTTAGATGGAATACGAAGGCGACGACGCCTCAAGGCACTTGCAAACGAAATAATATGAGAACGCTTACTTCTTTTTCTGGCACATATTTAGTATCCGCTACATGGGTGGTTGTCAAAATTATGGTGCATTTAGAATCCTGATTCATGACCACGCTCTTCCAAGCGTCCTGCCTTGATCACTGAATTGCTGCCTATCCCGATCTTCATCCTCAGAACGCAAAACTCCATCAGTTCCGCTGCCTATGATCCTCTCAAAGCCTGAAACCATGTGAGTCATTGTCTAAACTCCTAGGATCCCCCTTAATAATCCCTATAGTAGTCCCCTATATAATCCACTATATAACCCCACTTCAAGGAGTTTAGACTACAGCTCGTGTCATTCCAGTATGCCTGATACTCACTCTGGCCCCAGGATGCCATGTCTGAGTGCCTGTCAGGCGATACTGTCCAGGTCCCAGTTCCTCAAAGGCCATCGGCTTGTCGGCATCAAATCGTAACACCGTGCATGTGTAACACATCATCTGCTGATGCCAGACTGAGACTGCCGGCGTTGACATCCTTCAAATACTTGGGAGACAAGCCCTTGAGGCAATCCTCCTGAGATGCCGCACATGCTGTCTCCACTTGTGTAAAGAGCTTCGTTGAGGCCCAGGCAGAGTCAACACGTCTCTCCTTGCAAAAGGAGAACCGTGGCGCAGACTTGGCCTGATGTAGGGTTTAGGGTTCCAGTACCCCAACTGACTGAACCACCCATGAGTTCCGCGCTCGCGTAAGGCGCGAGGCCAAAACCTTTCGCAACATCCTACATGCTTCAATGGTGTTCACAGTGAATCTTAGCGATTCCGAGCTTGATTTTCCTGCTTCAAACCTCTTGAGCCATTCTAAACCCAGCGGGCTGGCTCCTCATGCGTTCTGAAGCAATTCCGAGTTTTGTCATACGAGTAGATGGTACAATGCGCCTGCGAAGCCCACTTGTTTACGGGATGCTAAGCATCAGATCCAGATAATCAATGTAGAGGTCCGCGGTTGCATGCATGCCCAAAGAAAGTTTCAGGGGCTGAGACATCTCTCTACTGGGCTCCAGGATGGAAATCACTTTCTTCTGCTGTCTGAAGGAGGCATGGTGTATCAGCAATTCAGCCAGAAAATGCTCTGCATGGCAATGCGTCCCCCTGGTGCCTCTGTCTGCTTGTTCAGCGGCATGCCCACGTCCTCTCGCTGCAGCTCCAAACAAATGGGGCATGGGTGACACTCAGTCCATCAGCTCATGAACGTCAGCAGCCACAGTAGCTTGAGCATTTGCAACACGGAAGTTTGTCTGTTGTTCCATTGCCGAATGCAGGCAACAACGTGCCAGCACCATGAGAAATGCCCGGTCCATTCGGTAGTGGCCCGGGGGCAGGTTCACCGACGACCTGCTCATGGCAAAAGCAATCTCTTTTTGCCTCACTGTAGCTTGAGGAATGTTAGCGGTTTGACCCCGTATGACTTCAAAATCGCAGATGTGTTGAACACGCCTTGGTTCCCAGTGCGGTCGAGTTTTTTTGACACGCGCTTTCTCACCCTGCCAATTCTTTTTGCTACGGGATGTCAGGCGCGTCCGGCCGAAGAAGCAAGCATGGCAAGCATGAGAACATGCGCAGCTTGTCAAGAGTAAAAAATCTGTGAGGTGGAATGACAGGCACCAAAAGCCGGCGCGTTTGCATGCTGCCTTTTTTTCTGTCCACATTTCTTTCTTGCGATCTTGCTGCTTTCTCCCCTACCTTTCCCGTCCTAGTCCCTGCCAAGATCCGTGGCAGGCCTGCTAATGCGTGGGAAGCGCTCAGACCTTGGACGCAAGTATTTGACACAGCACTGATCGAACAGCGTGTCATGCGATACACAGACATGTCTGACCCACGGACATATCTGAAGCAGCCTCAGGAACCCCTTTACCCACGTTGTCTGCAAGCAGAAAGCACTACAGCAGGTAGCTCCCAGCAAATCTCACGGGCGCATATCACTCGGTAAGTGCCTGGCTTGGTCATCATACAGACCTCAGCTGTCGAAAGCGTCCGATACAGAATTTGCTTCTAAGCTTCTGTTTAGGCAGCAGGAAGGCCTCTTGTGACCGTCCGATTCCCTGTTGGCAAGCTAGTGGCCAAGACCCCAGCAGGCTGCCGCCTCTTCGTGCTGTTGTTGGACTCAATGACCTGCGCCGGCAGAGCTACGCCTGTGTAGTAGTAGAAGAAGAAGAAGTAGTAGTAGTAGTAGTAGTAGTAGTGGTAGTAATAAGAATAATGGTAATAATACTGATGGTAAGAATAATAGGAGGAATATTGATAGCAACACAACAATGATAACAAATAATAATATAGTCAACAGCATGCAGAGAGAGTGGAGCCAGGTCTGGTCAAGCTTGTTGAGGCAGTGTGCCGCTGCATTGCACCTCTTGTCTTGAATTCTTGAGTCGGTGTGGAGTACTAGTACTGGAAGGAGATGAATCCTGTGAAGCTGCTCTGCTTGCTCCAACATATTGGATTCGAGGTTTTGCTGGAGGCTCTTCTAGCAGCCAGTTCTGGCATTGATGACTTAACCTCTTGAGTGACCACCGAGAATCAAGGTGCGTTCACCGACTGATTCTCAGTGACCGTCAAGGAAGTTGAGGGATCATCCTCTTCAGTGGAGGGGCTTCCTTCCTTCAAGTGGTTAAGTAGCAAGTACATGTCAGTGCCATGACCTGGCAAGGCTTGCATGAAGACGTCGCCACCAAAGTATTGAGCGTGAAGCCTGGTGAGGGGCAAGCCGAATCCGTAACCGGCGAGCTCTTTCCGCCAGGTGCAGCCGGAGTACGGGTCTCCCTCATCCTCAGGGAGAATGCGCACAGAGCGCTGAGGCAAGCAGCTTGGTTGAAACAGCTTTTGCTAACTTCAAAAATTGGTTCAGAGGTCTTTGATTCAGCAAGCTGAACTGTTTAATGTGAACAAAACTGTTGGGTCGCTGGGTCTCCCTCGTCCTCGTGGTCGTTGTCTGCGGTAGTCCAACCATATTGCCAGGCCTCATCTTGGAGTTTCTTTGGCATCCCGCCCCCGTGATCACTGATCTTGATGATGACATGGACGTCGCCCTTTTGCAGTTCCACCACCACTTTGGGTATGGTTGCCTCAGAGGCTAAACCCTAAACCCCACACCCTAAACCCTAGACCCCAAATCGCAAACCCTGAACCCCAAAACCTTAGCCCCAAACACTTTGGTATGGTTGCCTCAGAGGCGAAGCCAACACTCCGTTCCCGGGGCTTGTGCCGCTCCGTGGTTGCCTTACTGGTTGTTAGTAGGGAACATGTGATCATGGTCCCCATATTTAGGGTAGGGAGTAAGGGAATATAATCCCTAGTCGATCCCTATATAATATCCTCGTTCCCACTAACGACCAGTAAGTTGCACGGACGGCGTTCTTGAGAAGCTCCTGGCACATGAATTGCACATGCCGGGGAATGTAGTCCAGGCTGCAGGCCAGATTCCCTCGAAATTCAATCTCGGGTGCCACACCATAAATAGCTTCAGTCAGGCGAGTGATTTCATTGCTCAGATCCTGAATAATTCGATACGGCGACATCTCCTTCTGCACGACACCTATATAGCCTTCTTGTGGAGTTCGCATCCGAATGTAGTTTTCCATCAAAATGCGTACAGAGATTCGGGTAATGAAGAGGCGGTCAAGAAAGTCATCAAAGCGGAAGTGTGGGTACGCATGACGCACCTCTCGATAGCCCTCAGCTATCAGGCGGGCAACTGCCTGATGCTTTTCAAGCTGCTCCCGTACAAGCTGAGCAAAGTCTGCCTCATCCTTCTCTGTAAGAATGCTTGGGAAGTCTGACACACTCTCAAAAGTCTCCACATAAATGTCAAGCACCTGTTTGATGTTGCTGTTGTGCACTACCACGTAGGGTAGCTGCAAGAGCTCGTCCAGACGTCTCGCAAAGCGGATCGGGAGCTGGCCGCGAAGCCACTGGCCCTGTCGGATCAGCGATGCTGGGTCAGAGCGAGTGCTCCTCATCAACTGCCCCAAAGTGATGGTGTTGGCATGCTGCTTGGCGAGCACCTGGATGTGCCGAAAGCTCCTCGGAAGCCCCATGGCTTATTCCACTAATGGTGTTACATGCCTTGCCTAACTGCTGGCCGCATATGCCACAGCAGCCGACTTATGCCTGGGAGGTGAGAAAAATATAAACTGCACAAAGGTTGGGCTCTCGAGAGCTAACTACACTCTTCGTTGCGGTCTTGGTCATTTCTTAGCGAACTCGTGTTGGCAGGTACTATTTTACTGCGAATGCTGTCTAAGACGCATTTTGCTTAGCTTCTGCAATTCTAGGATTTGTCTCTTGAGCCGGCGGCGCCACGTCAGGTCATGGAAATGCCACCATGGTACCAGATGGATCCGAAGATCATGGCACTTCACACACAAACACGCTGGAACTAAAAACGGGCTATGATTGTTGCAACCACCAGTTCTTGCCAAGCTACTGCTTGTGCGTATTTTTGTGGGCTAGCAGCATTATACATGGAGCGCGCCCTCGAAATGCACCTCTCCTGCTTGAACGACCTGAGAGCCTGGTGTATGGCGCCGGCCTTGTCTAACTCAAAGAGCGTCGGATGCCGAACCTAAGACTGCATGTATGGACAACTGCCTCTATTGGTGAATTCTTACCACGCGGCCCCAATTCTATCTATGAGTTTGGTCTGTTCTGCACGCATGACACCACTAAGGCAAGCACTGCAAGCATGTGTGCAGCCAGTCTGCGCTAAACTAGCGGTCACAATCCGAACCAGTCTTGTGCTTCAATCCCTTTCCTTGGCCATGTTTGCTTGTCTCAATGTTTCTTATGCCTCCGTCCATCGTGTGGCCACAATCTACGCTGCAACTTGCGCCAAAACAGCATACGTAAACATCAGATAACACCAGGTTGCAATACCCACTTACAGTGGCATCTCAATCCAAAAATGCCAGACGCAGCTCCAGCTCCAACCTAGTGGCGCTCTTGCTTGGGAGCAAATGTGGGAAACTTCAAGGCTACGCAAACCAATACTATAGACAATGGAAATCAAATGGAAACTACTATAGTATATTGGGGTTATATTAAGGTTATATTGGGGTTATATTAACTCTAAACCCTAAACCCTAAACCAATATTATAACAAGGCTCTCCTTTTCCGCCCGCTTCCTTGACGACGCGAAAGCACTCGGCCAGCACTGCAGTATCTGCCTAGAAAAATCAAACGACGGAGGCCATGCTTTATGGCCTAATATTACCCTATTAGGGTTCAGGGGTTGAGGGTTGAGGGACCCAGTATATCCCAAAATAACCCTAATATTACCCCTGTATACTACAGTAGCTTCCATTTTAGTTTCCATTATCCCAGCATTTCTAATCTATATTAATATAGTAATGCTACCGCATGGCTGCTTTGATCTTTGAAGCATGTCGTGGCCGCGGAGGGTGCATCACAGGCAGTTTCTCAGCGCTTGAGAGCGGATCGGGCGTGGATGTCACCACCGCCTTGGAACGCTTTACACTCTGCGCAGCTTGGACGTAGCCTCGGCAAGAGTCCAGCACGTGCAAGCAGCAAAGAACACAGGAAACGCGCAGATTCATCTAAAGCTTCGTAGCGGAAATTGCCCAGGCCTGGAGATGCCGCTGAGGCACGCGACAAGTCCATGGCGGCGAAGCAAGTGCAAGCAAGGGCTTGGTTCTGCTCTTCATATACAGATGTTTGGGGATCTTGCGGGCTCAGGTACTTGTTGCCAGATCAGGGGATTCCCTTCCTCTTCCATGCGTCCTCACTTCCTCTTAGAATGACTTGACTTGACTTGCCGGAGCTTGGCCAAGAAGTATTCCATTTGCAGCCAATCCTCAGGCCTGGCTCTCTAAAAAGGAATGAAGAACTTTTCAAACACATTTTAAGCCAAGGCAGTCTAGCTAGCATCACAGAAAGACTGGGCTCCTTGTCCTCGGCACTCTGTTTTTCTCTACATGAGTCTCACCAACCCCAAAAGACCGAACTATACCGAACTAAAGGTGATTTGCATTGCGGTGGCGTTTCTTAGTTTGCATTAGCGATTCATGAAGAAACTCCCACGACGTTCTGCATCCTTTTAAACCGTCTGGCGAATCGCAATCGGCCAAGCAGCGAGCGTAGGTTTGATGAAGCCTGGGAAGCGTCGGCTCGTAGCAGTTCCGACCGGCAAGTGCCGTGACATCAAAAAGTGTTGCTTGTAGCATCGAAAGGAAACATTAGAAAACCTAGACTTTCTGATGCTTGGGCGTGCATGTAGACGAAGCTCAGGAACTGGCTCACAAGTTCGGCAGAAACAAATGGGGTGTCTAATGCGAACTTCTCGCAGACACTAAGAAATTGATGCCACACCTAAGGCATGGATCTAAAACTCTGTTTCAGTACAAAGCGGCTGCAAACACCGCTATGGCAGCTTGACTGCACTCGTACAGCACTGCCAAGCTCCGCTGCGGTCTCCAAGCTCAGCAACTCCAAGCTCACCCGTCACTGTCCTCTTCACAGCCCTGAGATGGGATGGGAGCTGCATGACCAAACCATGTGAGCTATGGCTATGGTCTAAACCCCTTAAAGGGTTACATAGGGGGGATTATACAAGGAAGTACTATTATTGGGGTTATTAAGGGGGATGCTAGGAGTTTAGACTATGGCTCATGTGACCAAAGGCTTACGGAGGCCTTCGTATCCCCTGAAGACGCGGCAGCTGCAGCCTCCACACGTCACACATCGCACGACATCATCCCACTTCCCCTCGCGATGAGCAGCTGCAATGGCTGTTCCAATGCCTTTTAAAACAACAAAATGCAGAGGAGTCCGAGGTGTGAGACATATGATTCGAAGCTGCCCTCCAGATGTCTGTTGTAACAGGTCACATCCGATGGGCGACTATCTTGAATTAGAATCCTAGGTCTTGAGCGGGAGCGCTGTGTAGCCGGATGGAAGCGTGGCGAAGTAGGCTGAAGGTGACTCCTCGCCCGCCGCCCATTTCCTGGGTGTGCCCGAACGCCAAACAATCAAAGTCATAGATTTTGCAGCCAAGCGTCTTTACTTTTTCCAGCTCGTCGGCGGTCATGCCCAACGACTGCGCTTGCTGCTGGCGTTCCTTGCTCAGGACGTGCTCGGTCAAAAGCTCCTGTCAGCGCGTCAAGCTGTACCAGAGGTATCACAGGTCATTTGAGTACTGCCGCGGGAGTCCTTCATGAGTTTAGGTGGTGTTTCCTCATCCATATGCGGAAGAAGAAGTTTTTGATAGTCGTCGGCGGTCAAGGTCGCCTCACCCAGCATTGCATGGCACTGCATAGCTCTCAGACCAAGCTGTCCGTGGAATTCTTGCCGAGTGGCCATGAAGAAAAAGCCTGCCCAAAAGCCCTGCTTAGCAGATATCTCGGCAGCCAGTTTCTGCTCCCAGGCCAAGAAGATTGGCGGAGGTATTTGGCTTCCCGTGCAAACATTTTCCTTACAACGTTGCATCGGTAAAGCATGCCCACTCGACGCAAAGTTGCTATGCCTGCCATGAACGAGCTTTTTTCAGTCCGAGTCACATACGGATGCAGAAGAAATCTTTGCACTGCATACCGTCTTTCATCGTCCAAATTAAAGATTGAAACCTGTGAATCCGACGCGCAACACACGGGGCAGTAAAAAAAAACACATTCCCAAGCTTGGTTTCCTTAACACAATGTTATCGGTAAACTTCCTCTGACTGGGGGTTTGCTCTTCAGGGACGTATCCAAGAGGTTCAGCACATGCTACGATAGTGAACTGTAGCATTGGGCTGGTAGTGGTAGAGTGTTACGAGCGGGCGAGTTAAGTCGCATCACTGTACAGCCTTGGCGGGGGCCAGGCTTCCGAGGGGTCTCAAGTGCTCAAACGTGTTATCGGTAGGTTATCGGTAGCGTTATCGGTTAAAATCATCACCGGGAATGGAAAAATTCTCTGACCGAACTACATAAATGTAAAGGAAACGTCCTCATCGGTAATTTTCCTCCGGCTATCGGTAAAGACTTTTTATGAAGGGACAAAAACTTAAGGGGCCCACCAATTCTAAGCGAAGAGGCGCGGGGTTATTTTACAGTCCCACAAGAAGCTACTCAGTTCCTGCGGTTCACTGGCCATGCGTGATCTCAGGCCATGGCCATTGACATAGCAAAGCTGACGAGTCTGAACCTTAGACCCGTGAAATTGAAACATAGCATTCTGCTTGCCGCAGGTGAAGCCAGCCAGACTTGCAGTCTGAATTCCAGAAGCAGCCAGCATCTCTGATCGAAACCGTTACGCGGCGGAACCTTCTCACAGGATGACCTCCTAACCAAGCCTGCGGCTTAAAGTATCTAAAAGGTATATGGGTCAGACCCGCGTGCCTAACCCTAGGGCCCTAGGTTTCAAACAAACAGGCCGCGGGAGCTGTCCCCTGTTAACAGATCATAGCAGAAGCCCCTGTATAAAAGCCTTTATGCTTCATACATCATGTGTCATGGGTTTACGTGCTGCTAGCCGAAGGATCCCGAAGGTTGCGGGCCCTGAGGTGCACAAACTTAGGGTTTAGGGTGTAGGCTTTACGGTGCATAGACATCCAAATCATTGATTCGGCATTTTCTTGTACAATAGAAAATTTAGGAACCGGAGCAACTGTGGAACCGAAGCGCACGAATCGAACCGTCTCGAAACGGTCAAAGAATCATGCGGGGTTAGGTTCCTGACAAACCAAAGCGAATGGAACCGTGGCCTTCTGACGCTGAGGTCCAAGCCATTGCTGGAGTGAATAGTCCCACATGAGAACATGGGAGACAAACTCAATTTGAGTTGTCTTGATGGCCAGTACGCACACACCCAACATGCCTGGCAGCCGCAGCTTCATACAGCTTCATAACAATGGACTTACATGCATATCTTGCCCCGCCTGCGGCTAACCAGCCTATGGCTTCAAAAGGAGCCATGAGATACTGCATGTTCGGGTTGAAGAACAGCTTACCTTGCTCAACCAAAGTGCTGTGGGCGAGCAACCATGCCGGCTGTCTGCTTTCGTGCTGTCGAGGCTACATTCCTTCATTACCCGCGTGACACGCCCAGACAGGCGCGTCATAGAAGCATTCCGCAGAAGCCTGAGATGGAAAGAATTGGATTCAGGCTGACTTAAAAATCAGACTTCGGACAGGGTTACGCAGCATAGGGAATCAGTGGCCCGAGTCACAACACGCGGGACTACAGATCCATGTTCCATGCAAGTTATCTTCTGCCGGTGGCTGCATAGACGACCAGCTCGCGATGTCTTCAATGGCGTTGGCAAGCAGGACACCCATGTATGACAGGTTGGGTGTCTGAGTCCACATAAGAAGCCTCTTGACAGCATGGCACGCTGCTGATTGAGCTTAGAGAGGTGGCTAGAATGCACAGCGCTTGAGCGACCCGAGACAAGTCCACTGAGCGCACCTGAACACGAGGACGCTCCAATACCAGCCCAGTACAATGACCTCGAAGTAAGCCACATAGTATCTCATCTGGTTCAGAGGCCTGGGTAGTTTGACTCCAGCATTTGATGGTGACAAGAAGGAAAACAAGCGCCTTCGCCGGGTACTAAAACAACTTGTCAGCCAGGAAGCTCTTGCGGATGGCGTGCAGGCAAGGACTTCAAGTTGAAGTAAGTCCCTCGAAAACACATACAGTCACATTGCACACGCAAGCCACCGGTGGAGGCACACCATGACTCGCGCCTATAGTGATGATGATCGTTCGGATCATCAGCGTCACCATTTGGAGGCCACGCATCGTCAAACCTTTGGACACGATGGCCTCGAGCTGCGACGTGTCCATGTTGCCTGCAGTAGTGCTTTTGAGGTTTGGTGTGCGTGTGTGTGTGTGTGTGTGTGCTGACTTGTGTGACGATGTTTATTGAATGGCAACTGCTCTGCGAAAATGAGCCTGCTCAAGTCCTAAAGGTGCACTCAATAAAGCCATGCTACCACCCTCTGCCAGGCCAGGAAAAAAGGTATCCTTTCCCAAGGTGGTGAAATAGAAGTACAGCTCCTCCTTGGTTCTTTGCTGCAGAAGCAGGGCTGGCCCCCGTCTTCCATATAGGGATTCTATAGGGGTTACATAGGGATTACAGAATAATGAAAGAATAATAATGATACTGAAAAAGAAGCTACAATCAAGGGTTTAGGGTTTAGGGCTTTGGGTTATATAGGGATAATACTACACCAATAACGGAGAATCAACAGGAAAAGATGGAACATGAAATGGAAACCCTAGATCCGTTTAGAAGGGGCTTATAAGTACTACTGGGATATAACTCCACTTATGGAGAAGCAAGTGGAAAATGACATGGAAACTACGCCTGTATAGGGGTTATCTTAATATTGGATTTCCATTGAGGGCAGTGTTGCAGAAGCTTCCCGCCACTGTTGTGTTGCAGGCTCCGAACAGCAGAAAGTTGCGGGACCACAATCAAGATCAAGTAAAGCGGGCTGCACTGTTTGTTACTTCCACTGCAGGAGCCGAGGCCTTTTGTCATGTCAAGCCCCCTCGATGGATTTGAGGGATCAAGTAGTCAAGAGGAAGGGAACTGATGATTGCTTCGCAGGGGCCTAATACCAAAAGGCTACCACAAAGCCATGGTGAGGGATGCTAGGGATGCAAAAGAAGGGCACTGGCTGGTATTTGCTGTACCTGCTATCTGGGCTCGTATGTTTGCGGACCCAGCATGAGTGCTCCCCGGGCAAGACGATTGCTGTCTTCCTGCACGAGGACTAAGGCATCCATTGTGGCCTTGCCGGGACCGCCAGCATTCAGACTTGCATAATGAAGTGGAGCTGCAAAACATGGCATGTTGGAACGATGCGCCTGCCACACAGTTCCAAAGAACAGGATCTTCACACCCAAATCCAGCCATAGAGCATCTTTATCCAGAAATCTTATCCCATCGAAGTCCGATCCACAGTAATCGTAGATCAGCTGGTTGGTGTACCTATATAGCCTGAGATTGCCATAAGCAAAATGTTTTCTGATACAACTGCCAGACTTGACATATGAGCATGTGTTTTGATGGCCTCCCCTTGATGTCTAATATATGCACTCACCGTACAATCACCGAAACCCATAATTTCGCATCTCGTCAAGAAACGGGTAGGCAGCTGCCAAGTATGTCAAGGCACCAATGAACTTCAGCCATCTAAGGCTACTACCCATGGCTCTGCAAAGATTGTACAGATGAAGGTGGGCGGCTAAGTGCTTTGTTGCGAAGTATTTGCATGCGGTGTAGCAGGACCTGAAATGTGCATGTGTTTGCATTTTCTGTATGCACATTAGGTATGCGTGTATGTATCATGCGTATGTAGATACGAAACGTTATACAATGCATTATACAATATACATACATCTGTGTATACATACATATTACGTGTCATAGCCTTACTCGCCAAAAGTCCACAGTTGTTGGTTGCTACTTGCTTGGGCTCTGGGACTACCATGGCCTACCTGCACTCCGAAAAACATCTCGACGTGAAAGCCTGGGAGACTCAGCCAGAAACGCGGCAGCATACGGGGATAATGGAAAAGAAAATGGAAACTGCTACATTGTGTTGGCGTCATATAGGGATGATGGAAAAGAAAATGGAAACTACTACGGTACATTTACTCCCTTGACTGCACCCGAGGATGTTCCCAAGCAGCCATGTCTTACGAGCTTGAATCGCCTAGGCATGCGACCTGGCTTGCAGATTTAGTTGATGCAAAATGGCTTGTTTCTCTGCCCAGGTGTGCTCAGTCCTCTAAAGTTGTTTTGGAGAAGCTTTTGGAGGGTGCTGCCGATCACCGCTTGCAAGCGCAAACACGAATCTTGTGCCTTCAGCTCCTTGATCTTCTTCCGCTTCCTCCGCTTGATCTCGCCTGCGCATCTTGCTCGGACTTGGCAAGTTCCAAAACACGTGAAGCACGAAACATCATGCTAGACTGCTAGATTTAGGTGGCTGCTTGTTTGCAACCGTACATAGGTTCCAAGAAGTGGAAAGTCTTGGATTTCTCGTTCTAGCTGCAACGGCTGACCCCTTGCCCAGGGAAGTCCGCACTGCTGCAGTGTATCTTGCGCCTTTCCGGCAAAGATGGCAGTAGGGACAGTCATCACCTTGACCCATGTTGTACATGGTGCTGGTCAAAGGTTCAAGGTAGCTGAGTGCCCAAGCTGTTGCGACAACCGTCTGGCTTGTACAAGAAGTATGCACAAGGCCTCCAATGAAGCACGCTTCTCTTGAGTCATCAGTCACATGGAATGCTGGGCACCCTGCTTGCACTCACCCCGATTGTGTGCGGCTTCCATGTTGGGCCACCTTAGAGGAGCAGGCATAAACAGAGAGGTGACCGTGTTGATTGGGGCTCTCTTGGGCCGCAGCTTGGTGCGCCAAGCCGTGACACACATCACAGTTGGGGCAGACTGCCACGGATCTGACAGGGTTTTTTACTGACTCTTGGAGAGCTGGACTCCAGCTTGGCAGAACTGCTGTGAAGATCATTCCCCTCCATCGCCCAAGGATCATGTCATTTACGTGTATTAAGAAGCATACAGTAGGCGCTGGGCACCGCATCTTCCTAGCCAGTAGCGAAGCGGCCGTTTACCCTAGTCTTACTTCTCCTTTAGGGTCCCACGCAAACAGCTACCAAGATCGACCAAGGTCTGGGCTCTGCGAGTCACCATCATCGGAGGTCATGGAGGACATTACCGGCAAGTTGTAGAAGGTGTTCTTGATCTGGCAAGGGCACTTTTGACTCTTGGCAGGGTGAATGGCAGGCCCATGACGAGTGCCTCCAACTGTGAAGTGAGATCCTGTGTCGGCAGAGTCTTAATGTCTCAGCACTTCGAGAGCAACAACAACCGGTCACACAATGAGCTTCACGGAGCGGCTGAGGCGGCGTCCACCTTGCCAAGGAAGACATCCTCTTGTAACTGCTCGTCGTACTCATCCATCTCATCCTGATGACGCCCAGCTGACAACAAACGTGGGCTCAAGAGAGCAGCAAATTTGGAGTGGCTGCTGAAACCTGCGGGCAACAAGATATTAAATGCAAGGCAGGGAGTAAGCTGCAGGCGGCCCAGTCTAGCAGTTGCCTCACCAAGCATTCCACGCTTGAAGCTGCATCTCCGGGTCTGAGCACCACGCCCCATAAACTTAAAAAACTGCCTCTGAATGCTGCCAGGAATCGATGCAGGCATTGGCACCTCCATCGCAGCCTGCTGCGCAGAGTATGCCTGGACACCGCCACCAAGCTTTGCACATAGCACACATGTATACGAGTGTGACTATATGCGGATGTGTATACTCACATGGATGTGTATATGTGCGATCTGAATTGCGTGCATCCTGTACCATAGCTTTCATGTCGTGGCCATGTAATTGCATCGGCTCATACTACACATGCGTATTGGCCACTTCATGATGCCATGCATGATTATGTCAGAACCTAAATTAAGCCAATTTGGTACTGTCTTTTATGTAAACCACCACTTGCCAGACAACACACGAAATATGATTATAATTAAAAAGACAGGGGTACTAATATCTGGCAGAATGACAAGTTCATGGTCCCCACTATGTGTTAGTTTCCATACTTAGAGGGACCCCAATCTAGGCCCCAAAATACTACCACCAAAAAAAATACTCCAATTTTTGGAAACCCTAGTCCCTATAAACCCCTAGATAATGCCAGCTTCCATTTCATTTTCCATTGGATTCTTGATTATTGAAGGGGGGTAATATGCCCCTAATTTTGGGTGTCGTCGAAGAGCAGGATGCTAGGTTGCAAGGATCTATACAGGGGTTTCCAAAAATTAGGGATACCTTTTTGGCGGTCCCCATAATAAGGACTATAATATATTGGGGTCTATATTGGGGTACCCTAATTTTGGGAAACTACCATACAGTTCTTACGATTCCGATACCTGCTTCGGCTACTTCCAACAGATCGGGCTCGCCCCTATACTAGGGTAGGTTTGGAGGCCCTATAAAAATCAACTTGTATGGCTTTATATGGATTTTGATAGCCCATATAGGAATGAGGGGTAACATCAAAATCCATTTTCAAACCAATCCCTACCCCGCAGAGCTTTCACCGTGGACGGAGGTCCAGGCCGGCTCGGCGCTGGGTTGCTCAGGCACTGAGGATGAGGACGACGCCCCTGCCATGGGGATGGTATAGATTGAAGATGTTCTATGTAGGCATATTACAACATATATGTTGGGGTTTGCAAAATAATGCAACCCTTGTTGGGGTACTTTGCACGGGGTATGTGGGGGGCATGATGTTGAGGGACCTGCATGTCGTGTTTTTGTGCAACATTGTCTTGCGCTGGCCTCCTTGTGGTGGAAGATCCTTCGGCTCCCGCGACCTGCACAAGGCTGGACGCGAGGAGCTTTGTCGAACACCGAAAGGTCCTGGCATGCCTGATACACGAATTACTGTACGTTGCAGACTTCCTTCTGACAGCAAATATTGTGAAACCAGTCAGTACATGAAGGCTCAGGTTTCTGTCACCCTTTTCCCGGAGCATCGACAGGCCACAAGCCACACCGTGTCTCCCTGCTGATGTATGCTGCACTTTCCAAGTCATCCAGCCCTCTGTTGCTACATTAGGCTTCATGCAATGCAACTACGGGAACGTCAACTCTGCGCTATGCCGTGCACTCTTCATATCTCTTCGTCATCTTGGCATGCAGCCTTGTTATACCTTGATCTCATCAAACCTCTCAAGCTGGTAATCAAGCACCCGCACCTGGAGAAGAAACTTTCGACGAAACTCGACATCGGCTCCGTACTAACTGCCTGCTAATGATGCTGCGGTAGTAGTTGGCTAGGGCTTCAATGGGACCCTCGCACCGTAGTCATGCTAATTCTTTGTTCTGTGATGCTAAGTGAATTATGTTGATGACTGATAGTGGCATCAGGTGCCTCAGCTGCTTTGACCTGAGCCTGAAGTCCACGCAACATACATAGCAGGAGTACAGATGCACGTGCACCTACTATCTCACGACCCACGGTGCCAATAAAAACTCGTAAGATCCAAGCTTCTGCGCTCCAGCTGTCAGGATTCGACTAAGTTCAATTCATTATGCCTTCACGTTGGAACGCATCCTGCACTGCAGTCCGGCCATCCCTTTAGACCTCAGAGATACATTGGGTTGCTGCAAGGGACCACATACTTCCACCATTTTGTCGGCTGTCTGCTCCCTGAGGCTGCACCTCAGTTTGAAAAATCCTTGAAAATATTCATCCCCAGCACATTTAGCACAGTAGATGAATCTTGCGAAACTAGATGAATGTTATATGTGTTCGAATTGCTACGGACACTCACACATAATAGGCGGAAATTAAAGCCTCTCACTGTCTGTGCTCTGTGCTTGTGGCCCAGAGGTGACTCGATATGAAAACCCCCCCCTTCCGTCTTCTCCACCCTGCATTCCTGCTTTTTGCCACGCAGACACTGCCAGGACCTGCGTCGCTAGAGCATGCAACCCGAGCTGGAATATCCGCCAGATTTGAATTCAGATTGTGGAATTGTGCAGCAAGTCTGAAGTCTATCTTAAAGTCTGGCTGATGGAAACTTGCCTGCAAGCTGTGACATGGCAGTAGTGTTGCGCAAGATTCCACAAGCTTCTCTGATGACAGTTGGGTAACGGATTTGTCATCATTGGCTTCAATGCCACCCTGCAAACACAAGACCTCCTGATCCTGTCATGGTGCCATGGTAAACGACGTGCCCCACACTTCGGGGGGCAGCCCGCGGTAGCCAAGCTGCGAGCAAACCGATGCATCAATATGATGCCGCAGCACGCGGCATGTAATTATTCTACAGATTCTACAGCAGGGACTTGCAAGATGTAGCCACTTTCTATGCCCACCTGGATGGAATCACGGTGCTGACAGTGTTGGCAATGCAGAAACCCTGAATTACCCCTTTGCACCGTACAGACTCATAACAAACCTTACCGTGCAACTTAAACATGAGATGCTTCATCATCTTCCCTTCGGGAAGAAGTGAAACGTGTTGGCTATAGCTGGAACCTTAGACAACGCGCTGTGAATGCAAGTAGGACTGGCTTCGTCCCATTACCTGCAGCATGCAACCATGTGAGTTGAGGCCACCACAACTCAAGGCCGTCCTCACTGTCTTCTATCTCGATCATGCCAGGAAATATTGCCTTAGATACAGGAAGCCACCGTCACTATTGAAAACAAACAGCCGGCGGCCAAGATAGGTGGGCCATGCAGTCAAGCTGGAGTGACTTCAACAGTTTCTGACATTGGCGTGCAGCTGAATCCTGCTTGCACAGCAAGTAGCCTTGTCTTTTAATTCGCTCTCCTGCTGCGTAGAGCGTCAGACGGGGGCGCGCAACCACAACTTTGCAAGTCTTGGACCTGCCTGGATCACAAGTTTGCGCTTTGCAGCGCCGCTCCATGTGTCGTCGGCGCGCTTCGCAGCCTTCAGCTTCTTATCACACCAAATTTGCAAATGCCGGTGCGAAGGCCATGCCTCCGTCAGGCCTTTGAGCTCTCCTGCCAGTATTCGACCCACCTGGCTGTTCTTGAAACGAGAATACGCACGGAATACCCAGCTATGGGAGCACAAATCATTCATCAGTAGTTTAAGGTCATCGCCTGATTGAGTCGTGACTGGATCATGTCTGCTTGCTGGTTCATGTGCCTGCGGGCCATCTGGCAAGCAAAAAGCTTCAAGGCTCATGTCTACTGAACAGAAGCACGTGCCCCGCGTTAATGTCACCATGCTGCCTGATCCGGAGGGTCTTGATCGCACACTTATTTCGGACGGTCTGGATCACCATTTGTTTCCATCTGTTTTGGGAACATGATAACTACTATATTGGTGTTAATGTGGATAGGCCCTAAGGCCCTAAGGCCGGGCCCTGCTTAAACATGTTTAAACGCACAAGTGTTTAAACAACTTCCTGTTGAAACAAACCCATACCACATAAAGTTTCAATAAGCAGTTCAAACCCATGATGTGCTTCACCGTTTAAAATTCAAATGTGTTTAGCCCAACTCTGGCCCTGCCAGTGTGCAACACGGACAGGTGAGTCATGCTGCACAAAGCGCATGTTTTGGTCTGAAGCGTGGTGTGAAACGAATTCCCGATTCAAACAAAAATTGGTACCACCTTTAGTAGCATGATCTACACAGCATGGTCTTCTTTCTGATGGTTTGGAACTGAGGGGTCTGGAACGGAATTCGAGGACCTTTTCTGGATCTCTGGATCGGGATGTGCGTTACCCCTTGTTCCGGACAAACCATATCGAGCGGTAGAGATATCATTGCTCGTTGAGAATCCTCTCACATCAGTCGCCCCTCTACTGCATTTCAGAAACGCCCTCCCCCCGCACCTCATCCTCTCAACCCACGCTTGCGACATTCTCTTGTTCTTTTCCAGGATAGTGATGAGCCGGCATAGGTCAGCTCCTCCACTGAACGCAAGGAGAACATGAAGCCAAACTGCGACCTTGTTGTACGAGATTCTGGACCATCAACCCGGCAGCTCCTTTCGCTTGTCCCTTCACCTGCAAGGACTGCAAGGAAGAACAAAGTATTGTGGACCTATCATCTGTAGGCAGGGGCAGCTCTGAAGGTAGGGCCTTGAAAAGGCCACTTAAGAACTCAATTGGGCTCAAGGCCCCACTCCTGGGCGAGCAGTGCCAAAGAGCCAGCACCCATTGCGATCAACAAAACTCTAAAGCGTGGAGACCACGGACTGAAATGCAAGCCAGGGTTCTTGTCCACATCCATCATCTCAAACCTTGCTCTCCATGCGCAGCAAGGCAGTCCACTGACACAAATCTTGTGCCAAGTAGCAGGTTCTCTGCCTCTATGGCGCCTACTTCAAGGAACTTCAACTTTTCAGTCATTCCAGGGGTCCTGAGCCGTCACACAACTGTCGAGACTTTTGACCTGAGCCTCTGCATAGCAGGAAAATACGCGTACTGTAAAAAACAATACCATTGTTAGCACTAGTATGCTTGCTAAGATTAATAGTATTCGTACAACAGTAAATGTGCAAGGGGCCTGAGAACTTTCCTGAACTCCTTCAGATCCAGCTCGCCATTAAAGTCAGCATCGCAGTCCTGGGAAGATAGGCTTACCACCTTCGCCCGACATGCTGCCCTGTTTATTTCTTTGCCAGGTAGCATCAAATTCCTTCAGCATGGACACCATCAACATTTTTTCCGACTTGGCTATGAGGGCAGCTTTGCTTTCCTCCATCAGACGGACTCTGGCGTTGGCATGTCTGGCGTCTGTCACAGATTCTCACAGCTCTTCCGGTCCTGGGTGTCCTGCGAGATGATGGTCATCCTGGGTGCACACATCCAGGAATACAGGCAGGCTCAAAACCTTGTAGCACCTTCAGAAACTAAGACGCGCACCTCTCCACCTTAGAGTCTGCCCAAGAGCTCTGCGCAGGCTTGACTCGACATCTTCAAAATAAACATCTCTCAGGTCCGCACCATGATTGCCAAGAGAATGTTTAAGGTACCAAAGCTCAGAATCAGCATAGTCAGATACACGACCTCAGACACGGCATGGCATGCAAAAACAAACGAAGCGGGTCTTAAAAACCTCCACATAGACTCGGCGAAGGAACAATGAGGCCAAGCGGTGCGAAGCTCAAGATTGGTCTCAGTATAGGCTCATGGACACTATCCAGGGTCATAACCTGGCAAAGGCCCAGGGCAGGAGCTGCAGATTCACAGCTCACGCGTGTCCAAGCCCCTTTTGCCAGCCTGCAGGACCGTGTACAGAGACCTTTCCGCGCAAGACTAAGACTGCAATCCTTTTCAGACCTATAAGAAAAAAGCATTTTCTAACAATTCCCGAAAGTTATACTATAATGAGGATGCAAACTAATTCCTAATTAATGAGATTGCAGAAGTCTGGGCATCTACGACTTCGAGAGCCAAGAGGAGCCAAGAGGCCTTGAGACGGTGCCGCAGTAGAGGTCCACCTCAAGCCAGAGCTCCCTGGCGGCCTTGCAGACTGGGTTTAGGGGTGATAGATAGGGGTATATAGGGGTATGTAGGGGTATATAAGGGTATATAGGGATTATATAGGGGTTATATAGGGCTAGTGGAAAAGAAAATGGAAAGTATTATCTAGAGTTTAGGGTTTGGTGGATTTTCCCAAATGGGGGACCCCAATATAGACCCCAAAATACTATTATCCTTGTTCTAGACCACGCCCCAAAAACATACCCCTAATATGTTGAATATGCTTCTAAGTGACAGTGTCCCCTCCAACCAGCGATGTCAGCGCCACCGCCAACATGTAGACGAAGATAAGAGCAGCTCCGGACATCCAAAACACAGAAGGCAAGGCGTCAATGAACCTCAGTTTCCAGTAGGGGGTTCAGCCACCACATCAACCTCCAGCCGTGTGACCTGCTAGAAATAGTCCCTGGAAGTAGTGAGTGTGCTGGAGCAGACAAACCGATGTGGCGTAAGTTGCGACCAGGCATGTTCGACTGTGTATGCTTGCTGTCCTTGCCCCATCATTGAAAAAAGGCCGCAAAACAAAATCTGCAGATCGAGAAGCCCTTGCGTTATTCTGAAGAGGCCCACGACTACTTTCTCGCCCTTCAGCGCGCGAGCGATCCGGAAGGCCCGGAAGATGCCTTAGTTTCAATCTTGCCCACGCCCACCTGGCTGAGCATTTTGGGGGTCCCCAGAATAAGGGTCATTGCATATTGAGGCCTATATTGTATATGGGGGTAATATTGGGAAAACGGAAAAGAAAATGGAAACTGCTATAACAGGGTGATACAGGGTTTGGGGGTCTCCCTGTTTAGGGAAACTACCATATCAACCCAACCAGACTTTGACTTTGCAAGTCGCGCATCGATGCTGCCCATCGCAGGCCGCTGCCATTTTCCTTGGCCATGCTGACGACCTGAGACAAGCTTACCAGCCAGATGCAATCCATCACACGGCTTCAACAAGAACACTGCAATGTTCTCGAATACATCAGGATGCGCTCTGCTTGGCTGAAGCCCAGTAGCCAAGTCTGCGCAACTGAAGACAACAAGACTGTAATCAAAGACATTCCACGCATCCATGAAGTACTCCTCAGTCGGTTCTGGTGCCCAGTGTCACGCATACGCAGTTGCTGATGTTCGTGCTAAATGATACCCAGCTGCCCAGCTGAGCTGATTCACCCGAAGTAGCATCTCCACGAAGAAGAAACCAGTGAAGGTAACCTCGCTCACGAAGTACGGTAGCCGATCTTGGAGCCTCAGCATTTTCGACGGCTTCTCAAAAAATCAGCACTCTAGGCTCCTGAGCCATTATTACTATTCTTATTACTATTACTATTCCTATTGCTATTACTATTCTTATTACTATTCCTATTTCTACTACGATTACTATTTCTATCACTATTACGATACTTCTTATTAGTATTATTACCACTACTGTTGGTATGGCTATTATGTTAAAAGTTCTTCCCCGAGTGTCCAGCTCCATGCCCCTTCCATGATCACTTTCCACTCCTGAGGGTAAGGAAGAATTACCGCGCTCCACTCCCTGACCAGATGTCTCACAACAGAATACTGGGACTCATAATAGTAAGCATAAGAGTAGTACATTGTAAATAGTAAAGTAGTGATAATAGTGGCAGCAACAATAGTAATAATACTAGTGATAATAGTACCAACGAGAATGCAGCAACGATGTACTGCTATGCCAAGTCTCCGATCAGCACGGTATTCGCAACCGTAACTATTACAACCATGATGTTGAATAAAAGGCTGGAGGCAAAGTGACGGCGCCTCGCGGCAAGTATGACAGTATCTACAAAGTGAGCAGACTATGGGCCAGCAAGTTGGATCAAGAACGGAGTAGAACCTACTGTTTGCCTCGCGCGCTTGTCTTCTGGCCATTCCAGCCGAATCTGGTCATAGAGCGTAATAAGCCTGACAACGCACTGATAACCTTCAAGTAAGTTTGTTTTACTTGAAAGTCCCTGCTCTTGCACTTAAGCATCTGAATGGGACAAGGCAGTCTTTCGTTCCCAAGCTTTGGGACCATTCAGCAGAGCCCGATACATGCCTGTCTGGAGGATCCTCGATGGCTTTCCTGCCGGTAGCATAACATATCTTATGACTTCGGCGAATGCCAATGAAGGGATGACTACTTGAGCTGACATGCTTTTTTACCAGAGTTGGGGCTCGCCTAAAGATGAACTGAACACTTCTCAACCAGCAACACTACCGCATGAGTGGGGTTTTCGTTCATCCTGGGCCCAACCCAGCCAACTACTGAAGCATCTGCTCGCAAGTCTGAATCCTCGGCAGCTTGATGTTGCAAACCAGAACTGACTCTTCTCTGGAGCGTGATGGAATCATTAAAGCCAGTTCCAACAGTTCGCATGATGCACATGAAGATTACATGATTTCCATCAAGGCGTCCTCCCGAGACACCATGTTGTCCAGCCGCCAGACATTTTCTGAGCCACAAACGCTTGGATAGAGAGGGCTTCCAGCTTTCAACACCAAACCGCTCAGATGCAGAATTTGGACAAGTCCTATGCATGATTGGCTGGGAAGGCCAGACCTGGACATTGCATGAGGTGGGCTCATGGCAAGGCGCAGCGTTATACGAGACAGACCAAGCAAAATTGTGTTTGTATACGCGTCCCAGCGAGATATGAGCTACAGTCTAAACTCCGAATATTCCCATTAATAGCCCCTATGATACTCCCCTAGATAACCTCCTTAAGAAGTTAAGACCCAAAACCCTAAACCCTATATAATCCTGTATATAACCCCCCCTCAAGGAGTTTAGACTATAGCTCATAAGCTTATATATTCGCAGACAGGCCACACTGGACTGAGGCCAGAGCACGGGCGTTCAGACAGACACACCAGAAGCGGTTAAAGGTTTAGGGTGAAAGGTTTAGGGTTGTCTTCATTGACATCGAGGTTGCCAGCAAATATCAGCAAGGACTTTTGTCCACCCAAGGCCAAGGTACTCATTTGGAGTGTACAGGGCAAACCTGTCTCCAAAAACAGAAACTACTGGATGGGCCTGTAGCTTCAGATCTTCTGTCCCATGAAGTTTCAGGTCAAGAGGCTAGAAGAGTGCTGCTCCAGGCCCATCCCTGGGAGACACGCTTGAAAACGAAGCACCTGGATGATTCTAAACGGCTAAGCCTAAGCAGCCAGGCGAACCTAAACACAGTACGGCCTCAGCCGAAGGTGCTCGCCATCACCTCAATGCTGCAAACATGCGAGGGACAGAGTGTCTTGCAATCATCGATGCTGGCCTACACTCTTACCCGTGGAGCTGCATACTGTTGGTTAATGGGCAAGGGAGGAATGGATTCCTACAGTAGTCTCTACATAGGCCCAAGGTAGTACAATGGTTTACATTTTCGGCAGTCCTTCGCTCCCTACCAGCCACCCCAAATCGCAAAAACCCACAAAACCTGATGGTTTGCATAGTGTCTTCGAGTTTCTTCCATTAACTTTGGCTCCAGCAAGCCTAAGTAAGACACGCGCATTTGAGAGGCGGCCCCGGTGGACACCGGGCTCATCTGGGCCATCCAACACGCGTGCAGGCCTCTCCCGCGTGCTGCCGCGGAGCCTCTGACAAGCCAGCGATGCGTCAGTACCAGCATTGTTGCTAGCATACTTATCACGATGACTACAACTGCTGGAAAGGCAGTCTCGTCTCGTTCCCTGGAAGAATCTAAGCTCAGGGCTGACAGCTCTGCCCGTTGCAGAGCAACAGGGCACCATCTGGCAGCCTGGAGATCGATCTCCGCTGAGTTGCTTTTGAAGTCTACATATATGGGAGACTACCTGAACGACTTGTCCAAAAATAGAGGAGTAACATCTGTTGGCCTGCACTGTACTACTTCACGGCCAATCCCCCCCTAGAGGCAGATGCACGACAATACCAACGAACACCTTACAACTGAACCTGACCTGACCCAGGACTACATAGGGATGTGTAGGGCTTCGGCTTTCGGGCTTAGGGATAGTACCCGGGATTACCCAAATCATCTCCAGCTTCACATGCCACTCAGCCCGGCGCCCCACAATGTCGACATCCTGCATGACCTCCTGGAAGAGGCTGGACGTGAGATCCCAGAGCCTTAGACATGGCACCAAGTTTATACAGGAGTTGCAGGGGTATCGGTGTATGAGTCATAGTCTAAACTCATTTAAACTCCTAGTATCCCCCTTAAGAAGCCCTATAGCAGTCCCCTTTATAATGCCCTAAATAACCCCCTTTAAGGAGTTTAGACTATAGCTCATTTCGGGTGAATGGACAAGAAAATGGAAGCTACTGTTCTTGGTTCAGGGGAAGACGACGGTCGCAACAGCCATCAGGCAAATAGGGGTTGAAGGGTTTAGGATGGTTTGGGGTTCAGGGTTTAGGGCTAGCTCACCTGCTAAATTGAGAGGTACAGCCGAGCGTTGGACCAGCAGCCAACCAGCGACAGGTGTTTTGATTGGTGACTGTGCAGGAACTGCACGATAGAAGAGTGATGACCCAGTCAAATGATTTTCAAAAAAGCCAGAAGTCTCTTGTGAGGCGTGTTGTAGGGTGAATTTGCGCATACGGAGTTCCGAGTTTGCAGGAGTCAAGGGTCCCTTTCGGTGGTCCTATGACAAGGATGATGGTACTTTGGTATCCGTGGTGGACCCCTGCTTCGGCAAATTCCAAAATCTGTTCGGTCTTCAAGAGATCTTTTCCAAACGCCTGCTTTCAGGAGTGATCTTGAAAGACCGTCTGTGCAAATGCTGGGCGCAATCTGCTTACGGCAGCATCGTCTGGGTGCTGACTGGAACAACGTGCTCTTCGCGCATAGTTTACTGTGATCTGGCGCTGGGCTTCTGCCTCATTGCTTTCTGTTGCATACTCAATATCAGCGGAATCCACGGATTTTGCCTTAGGCTGCTTGGTTTCAGGTGCAGAGAATCGGACGGCAGTCGCCTAGGTCGGCCATCCACAGCTCCTGCCGCCCTGACAAGCGCCATGCACACCACCGTTCCGCAAAAGATCTTGCCATGTGCACGTTTCTCAGCTCCACCCAGCAGGGCTTTCTGAGCTGGTCCAAGTGCCATGAAGCCTGGTCCTCAGCGGCTGCGCCACGGCTGGAGCTTTCGGAGGCCTCTGCTCTCACCTGGGGAGCCCGGGAGCCCGACGAAGGACCCACGAAGGCGCACTGCTACGCGGCGCCATGACGAGGAGGTGGAGCAAGTAGCGCACTTTGACGAGCTTCGCTCAGAGCTCTTGATGAGCAGCATCGGCGACACATACACAGAGCCGCGTCCAGCATCAGGAATCCTCCGCACTTTCAGCATATCTTTTGGGGTCAAAGCAACCTGTCTCCTCGTCCTCTTCATGTTGCAGATGAAGTGCACAGGCAGAGAAGTATCTGCTGCACGACGGACGCTGCTTCTTGTTCGGCATGCCTTTCCTAGACGATGCAGAAGCGGAAGCCAGCAAAGTTCTGATGGTTCTCCATGACGGTCATGGCATCTGCAGGTGCAGAGATGGCTCAGAAGCGCTAACTGGGCTCACACAAGTGCCCACAGAACCGCGTACAGTAGCTGCAAGCCTTTTCGCGGCATTGAAGTGGATGGAGAGCAATTATGTCCAGAAGGGTGAGCAGTACAAATTTGGTCAAGACAGGTATCTGCAACTTTGTCACCAAAAACAAGTACCCTTCGCGACCCTTTGTGTAGTCATGGAATGATGATGGGTGGGGGCTACTGCATTGCGGAGTTCTGGAACGATATGTCCATCAGAACTCATTCATCGATTGTGAACTGGACCAGCTTTTGAGTTGGTGTCAGATTAGTATGAAAGGTTAGTCCCCCTTTAGTAGATAGAATATGGCTTTGGGTTATATTGTAATAAGATTCCCATATACCCCATATTCTATCTACTTAAGGGGGACTATAACATTCCGTGTTCCACCTTGGAAGTCACGACAACATTGTACTCAAACTGCATTACATCATCAAAGACTTGAGATGACTTGAGTATTTACCACGTGCAGCAGCCATCACCCCTCTACAAAGGATGGCAAATGCAACTAAATCGCAACAAAGTAATTGTTGTCATTCTTCCGAGGAGCAGCTTGTCTTTGTCCCAGCCAGGAATCACGGCGCACTGCCCCGCTAGCTTGAGACCCTGAAAGTTGCCCTTCAAGAGCCTCGGTCGGTCAGAGGAGCTTCCCAGCCATCACGGGCACATACGTTTGCACACAAACGGTTTCTACTTAGCATCATGCTCTGGCATTCCAAGGCCGACATGACATCAGCCGATCCGATGTGTGTTGGCGACTCATTGCAAGGTAACTCCAAATCAAGAGGAAGTTGCCTGCCTGGCGAAATTGAAGCCCAACCCCGTGTCATGCACCTGATCCCTGTTATGGTTTCAATACTGTCGTACAAGGATGTCAACCCATCACGTGGGCATGATGTTGCACAAGCGGCACAAACCACACTTAGTAAGTGCCTGTCAGGAGCTTTTGCAGTGCTAGACTGGGAGTAGCTGCAGCCGCAAAGTTATGACCAAAGGCCATAGCAGCTGCTCCAAAAGCCAGGACGGCCCTGGGCTTCAGCCGGGCTAAAGCTCATCAAAGCAAGCTGTCGCAGAGGAGTATGACTTGTCAAAAACTTGGCTAAGCGGCACTGAGCCTTGGTTGACCCGTTGGGCAATCTTCTCCCCAAATTGGGGAGCGAATACCCTGAAGACATAGCCTTGGTTTCAAAATCTTGTCGTGCCGCAGTCCAGTTACCTCATGTTCCGGCAAAGCAGCCAAGCAGGTCTGGGTTGCCACTGCTGGCAACCACAACCGAAGCCTACCGTTTGGAACATGGGGCATGGGAAGGCACTGCTGGTCCACACTGAAACGCAGACAGCTGAACAGTCATGCCTGATCCAGCAGATCGTTCAACCTCAGGCAGTCACTCCCTGTTTAGTTCTGTGGCAATAGGGAATCTAGGCCCAAGGAACGTTGAAGGGTTGACCTTTGCCTACTTGGATGCGCACGGTCTAAGGCATGTGTGCTGCCATGCGCAGAGCTGTTGATCATGGCATTCACCCAGTTCAAATAAGGAAGCAGCTGTTGAATGCAGGGGCTCCCTTCTGCCAGTGTCATGTCCACCTGCCAAGGGACCAAGACGTCCATGGTCTCAGAAGAGCTAACTATCGCTTCTGCAGTTTATGGACTGCAAGGTCTGCACAGAAAGGCAGCAACCAATGAAAGTCAAGAGCCATCGCACCCTGGCCTGCGGCTCCAGGCCGTGCGACTGCAGCCGAAACAGAGCCTGTTTCTGCTCGAAGGTCGCGCACATGTCAAAGGCTGATACCTTGGGCCGAGCTACATTGCAAATGTGGTATGCCCAGGACCTTGCGATGGAGCCTCACTCCTGTCTGTCTGTCCAGGTACGTGCGTAAATGCGCCAGGGTCAAAGCCAAAGCTGCCCAAGCCGCCACAAGGCTCTACGCAGTCTGCACTCTTGATCCTGATGCAGGCTTGGTAGGGCACGATTACAAAAGTGAAGGGACAGCGCAACGGTTTCGCCATCTTCGAGTTGAGTGCCAGCCAGGCTTCCATCCGTCAGAGAAGCCGGAAAATCCATCCGTAAGACTGCGCACGACTTCAGGACTTGTTTGGGATCCTCGCGCCAGGTCAAGACGTCAGGAGAGGTCAAGACGTCAGGAGGGAACGTACAAGTCACGGTAGATCCAGCAGGAATAGGCAGAGAATGCTGACTTGTTGCCCGCATCCCTGGTACATTGACAAGTGACGGAAAGCAGGGTGACGCCGCTGAACACTGCAGTCAAAACGCGCTTCCATGCCCTGCCTGTCTTCACATAAGTGACGGCATCTGGATTGGCAAAATCTTTGTCCAGAGAATTCCAGAAGGACTTTGTCAGCAAGGCCCCGTCATCCAGCACCAGTACCTAAAGCTGCGAACATTGCTGTTTGCGGATTGAACGAAGGATAATGCATGCAAGTCAAGATGCCTTTAAGCCTCCGTAAGGGTTTGCCATGCTGGCAGTATCCGCTGGTCGCAATGTCCTCATCAGCGAGTCGAAGGCATCCTCAGGGGCCCACGCACTGACTACGCCGCTGAATACTGCTGCTGCGCATGCTGAAGTTGGGGATAAGCTTGTATCACACAGAACCCATGGCAAACCATGCAATGGCAAACCCTGCAAACAGGCTCGCCTACCAGGCATTATCAGCGATGTCATAAAGCATTGGCCCTCAACTTAGGCAGCGATCTGTAGCAGACCGCCCTCCATCCAACTTGGAATCCGAAACTCGACAATCCGATAACCCGTAGTCAGATTAAACCCAAATGCAGGCCAAAACCTTGGACAAGGAGCCTTGGCATCCGCATCATCTAATCCAGAGGAAGCCAGAGCCACGAGTGGCTTCTTGCCACTGAGCACCAGGCGACCTCTATCCGCAGAGTGGCACTTACACACGGATCTGGGCTTTGGGGTTTTGAGTTTAGCTGGGGGTCTGAGGCTTGCCTGAGCCGCAACTTTTTCGTCTGCTGTTGGTTGCAAGTTTGGATTTGGCACGTGGTCTTAGCGATGGACCTGTGCGGCATCATGCAGGGATGACCATATCGATGAATTGAAATTGAAGGGGTCTACACAGCGCTTTTTAAGGTCACGCTGGACGAGCTAATACATGAAACAATGTTGGCTACATGAGGGTTATGTAGAGCTTGTAGGATGAGTTCGCACAACATAAGGCGCGCAAATGAGGTGTCTTAGGATCATATACACGTAGAATATTGGCTTCTGCAGCACCCTGTCCAAGTCAGAATGTTCTCGTGAACCGCGTGCCCAAAAAAGATTCTCATTCCCTGCTGCAGGACACCTGCTCAAACCTGCCTGCACCGAACCATGTACTGTGCACTTGGAACATAAAGGATGCCTTGCTACTGGCCATCCGTTGACTGCTCACTGCTGGCAATCCCTCAACAAGGCGCTAGAGGCACGGCCTAACGATAACTGGTAGCTTGTTGAGGCCTGCAAATCCGGGTGACGGCAGAACCAATTGCAACGCAGGCAGCTTTCTGAAGGGATAAGCTAGTGCGACACAATCTCAAGCCCGCATAGTTGGAAAGGCCCGCTGCGTTGACTCCTTGTTTTACAATGCATCCCAGGAGCAGTTCGGCGTCTCTGGCATTGCGGAGGTGACCTGGAGCAGACTTTGCGAAGCCTATAAAAGATTTCATCATAATTTTGGGCTGCTACATTCAGCTGCATCACCGGTTCGAAAACAATTGCACTGGAGCATGAAAAAGGTTCCATCTGTCTAAGCTTGAGGCGAAGTTTGGCTGCTCCGGGCGATACCCATGATACACAGATCGATACGCCTGCATCCGCATGAGGCCGCATGCTCAGGCTAGAGACGAGATGGCGGGATCAAGCCATATGACATCTGTGGTGTTGCATCCTTGCCTTACCCCCAAGACACCGTCCAACCACTGCAGCATAGCGTGCACCGCTTTCAAAAACTACAATGACAG